AATCCAAGTCACCTTCAGTAATGTTTGAAATACACATTTAGTGGCTGCAGTCCTTCAATGCCTCTCATTTTCTTGAGTATTGTGAGTTGTACTATCAATGTAAAATATTTGCATTTATCAGTCCCTTTGTTCTTTAGCAACACAGAAATAGTTCATTATAATTATGGTCAGTTTACCTTTATTTTTAAAAAAAGGAAATTAAAGAAACTCGGATTTTGTGAAGATTTTGTGCTGTTAAGCTAGAAGGGAAGCAAGATACTGCTGCTAAGAGTTCTTGATGTTTTGTATGATTCTAGACAGCAGTGACAATGCAGCCAAGGAGAGGGCAGGCTCCAGTGTCAGATATGAAGGTTATACTAAAGCAGAATGTGGCCTGGTGTAGGAAAAGTAACTGCAGACACCGTGGGCTTCCAGAAAATACTGCTTTCCTTATGGTTATTTTTGAGGCAGTACTAGCACTTTCATCTGTTCCTTATTTCATTAAAAGAATGGAATGAATCTGTCTGCAGATTGCTAGTCATTGTGAATGATGCTTTCTTCACCATTTAATAGCTCCTTCTCAGATCAGTGAAATTGTCACGTGTGCTGTCTTTCTAAGCTTGTGACAGACATACAGACTTGCTAGTGAGAAGAGTTTGTGGACGAACCTGTTCTTTCATGTGATGTCTGTCATCTTTTCTGAAAGAGCAGTGAGAGGCAATCATCTTGACCATAGTAATTTATGGTACCAAAGGTCATCTAAGTGAGATTACTAGCCTAGTTCTGGTAATAGGTAAGGTTGTAAATCAGCATTTGGGCTGGAACCTCTTTGAGTCTTGGCCTCTTCCTCAATTATATTTATTTCAGAAAACTTTCAGCTTCTTACATGAATGAAGCAAGGACTAAGTGAATCATCTTTCTGTTGAAAACTTTGAAGAGCACTGATTCTCCCACTTCTGAAGCAAGGATTTAACATTTTGCAGAGCATTAGGCTTTTCAGTTTGTGTTGTGCAGTTGTATTTTGGGCAGTTTTTAGTTTGTTAGATGTTCCAAACAGAGAAGTATTCGTTCAAGTTCTGTCAGCTTTGTAGACTGGCAACTTGATTTCCTTTTGCCCCTTCCTCTTTTCCTCCCCTTAAGACATCCAAAACAGAATCACACTGAGCTCCAAAGTTTATCAACAACAGTTCTGTTCCAGTATGCTGCAAGCTGCTGAAGCCTTTCTACTCCATTGAACTGAAAACTGGAATGTCTTGTCTTGCATTCTCCATGACACTTCTGTTGCCAGATCTGGTCTTGGAGAGGACTGGATAAGGAGGACTTTCAGTGAAAGTGGAACATATATTTCTAACTTTGTTTAAACTGCAGGTATTGTGTAAGAGGAGATAAAGGTGATAAACTGTAAAAAGGGCAATGGTAGTGGCAGGACACAAGGATTTGAGAGAGAAATGCTGGGGGCTGATCTAGTGAAGCAGGGCACATGGCACATTGAGACCAGGCATAATTTGCAGTGGCAGCCTTAATTCTCTCTTTTATTCTTAATTTGTGGATGATGAGGGTAAAAGGCTTCATGTTCTTCAGAGAGAAATTACTATTCTAGTATGTGGTAAGGAAAACATTTCTTTATATGACACATTTAACAGGCAGTATATTTAAACAGGGTTTAACTAATGTGTGTGTGAATCTCACTGCTGAGACTGAAGTCCAGCCCTGGCCATGTTGCACTTTATAATATAAAGATCAGCTTCTAAAAATACTGATCATGGATGGAAATGCTCCTTGTGCTCTGTACAGTCATTGTAGATATCTTGTCCATGTTGTGCTCTTCGTGCAGAGTATTCAAAAACTGAAACTATCATTCTTACTACTTTGTGTGAAGACTATTTACAACATGATAGGTTAAAACATTTTTTTCAACTTACTTTGCTTCAGATAGTCAGATGAGTAAAAGTGCATAAGCACCTGTGTTAAAGGCACATCAGGTCCAGCATTAAACTTTATAGTGTTTCTTTCCCATTTCTTAAGATTATTTTTTTTTTAGCTGCAATCTTGTGTGTCAACTGACACACCAGAGAAAGCTGAGTGGTCAGCTAAACCGTGGCAAGCTAAGTAGCTGCAGCTCTCTCTTGTGGGGAAAAAATGCCTACTGCTACCTCCTGCCAACTAGCAATAGGTTTCTGACTGCACCTTAAATAGTATATCCTGTTTTCTTTTTGAATTTTTTTACAAACTGAGGATTTGCAAGTGTCTTTAAGCTTGTCTTGCCCTCATTCTATCTGTGTAAGCTTGTTTGCTTTTCACCATAAAACTAGCTCCTGTTATTATTATGAAACCCCCTTAAAGAGCCAGAGGTGCACATGTGCACTTCATTAAAAACAGGCAGTGAAAGCAAAGTAGGTGTTTTAAGGCTTCAGAATTCGACAACCTGCATGTGTGTATTTCTTCCTCTGATGCTTTTAGTTTCAAGGATAAAGCATTCAATGTGTATATGAAAGATTAAGAAGGCTGATTTACAAAGGCAATCCTGTTTTAGGACCCGTAGACTAATTTTCCTTTACAGAACTTAAATTATCTGTTACCTGTTGATTGCTTTACAGTTGGTTATGTTATGTTGTTTGGTGGGGATTTTTTTCAGTTAAGCATTTGGTCTCCTGACTTTCCTCTGCCTGCCCAGAGGGACTGTGGAATCACCTTCCGTGGAGAATCAAAACACGCCCTAAGAGATAGGGTTTAACTTCAAACTTGGATAACCGTCGAAGTTCCCCTTGCTTTTAGTGCTTGGAAGGTGGAGTGTTGGACATGTTAAAAGAGGTCTAGAAGATCTCTTTCAAAGGGCTCTGTAGTGAGTTGACCCTGGCTGGTTGCCAGGTGTCCACCAAAGCTGCTCTGTCACTCCCCCTCCTCACCTCGGCAGAGGAGAGAAAATACAACAAAAGACTCCTGGGTTGAGATAAGGACTGTGAGAGATCACTCAGCAATTACCATCATGGGCCAAACGACCCAGCTTGGGGAATTATTTTAATTTATTGCCAATCAAATCAGGGTAGGATAATGAGAAATAAAGCCAAATATTAAACACTTTCCCTTCACTCCTCCCTTCTTCTCTGGCTCAAGTTTACTCCTGATTTTCTCCACCTCCTTGCCCTCCCCCAGCAGCACAGGGGGATGGGGAAGGGGGTTTGCAGTCAGTTTGTCACACATCTCTGTCACTGCTTCCTCTGGGGGAGGATTCCTCCTCCTGCTCCAGCGTGGGGTCCCTCCCATGGGAAACAGTTCTCCACAAATTTCTCCAACATGACTCCTTCCCACAGGCTGCAGTTCTTCATGAACTGCTCCAATGTGACTCCCTTCCACGGGGTGCAGTCCTTCAGGAACAGATTGTTCCAGTGTGGGTCCTCTGTGCAGTGATAAGTCCTGTCAGGAGCCGCTCCAGCACAGGCTTCCCACGGAATCACAGCCTTCTTCAGGCACATCCCCCTGCTCTGGCACGGGGTCCTCCATGGGCTGCAGGTGGATATCTGCTCCACTGTGGACCTCATGGGCTGCAGGGGGACAGCCTCACTGTGGTCTTTGACCATGGGCTGATGGGGGAGTCTGTGCTCTGACACCTGGAGCACCTCTCTCCCTCCTTCACTGACCTTCGTGTCTGCAGAGCTGTCTCTCTCACAGTTCTCACTCCTCTCCTGCTGCAGTTGCTGTTGTGCTCATTTTTTTCCCCCTTCTTTAAATATGTTCTCCCAGAGGTGCTGCCACCGTCATGATGTGCTCAGCCTTGGCCAGCGGGGGCTCCGTCCTGGAGCCAGCTGGCACTGGCTCTATCAGACATGGGGGAAGCTTCTGACAGCTTCTCACAGGAGCCACTCTTGTGGTCCCTCTGCTACCAAAACCTTGCCATGCAAACCCAATACAGACTCTTCTGAACTAAATTAGGATTCTAATTCAGCTTTTTGAAGGATTAAAAAAAAAACCCCACGAGATGTGAAGAAATGTGAGATCTATTTAAAGAGAAGGAGCCTAAAAATATCTATCCTGTTACCAGAACAAGAGTTTTAAAACTCTGACCCCATGTCTTGTGAAGCCTTAAACTAAGAAAAATCACTGTAAGAGTCAAGAGCACTAGTTCAGGAGTGTGTGGTGTATTTTGTTTGTTGGCTGAGCATTTCCTGTGTACAGCTACAAGTCATTTCTGCATAAGTCTTCTATTAATGCATAGTGTACCATGTTTGGCCTCTTGCAAATATCTCAACAGGTGTATTTGTAAGAAATACTTACGAACACTACATTTAATTTTATGGCTAGCATTGTACTGCATTTGGGGTTTGTGCTGGTTTTGTCTGGGGAAGGAAGGGAAAGACAGCAGTCAAGTCTGAACAGGATGTCAGTGTGTGACTCGTGTGCTGGGGAGGATTCGTGTTATGCCATGTGTGTCACACAGACCTGGCTAACAAATCTGGGAAATGGCAGTGTTGAGACACCTGCTTTAATAAATTAGTGTGCCACTTGAACTTTTCCATTTTTTCTGTCATGTTTCCAGTGGATTCTTACAACACTAATGTGAAACAGGTGTGTTTATGACTTTGGACATTGTTTTAATGTTTACTAGCCTTGCATTGGGGATGTGATACTTTAGTTTCTGATATGTTAGGAAGGCTTTGGTTAAAAACCTTCTGATTTTAAGTTTCGGTTTTGGCTTATCAGACTTCTAAGGGACATAGTTCAAGCTCACATGAATTGGGGTGGACCACTATGCATGCAAACTCACTTTCATGTCCTTACCTTGCAGTAATAAACAAGAATTAAGATTATTAAACAAGCTGTGAATTTTGCAATAACTGATTAGTTGGACTTGCTTTTTGGGTTTTTTCACAGTGTCAAGGTCAGTGAGGATTCTGTTATGTTGCAGCTGAAATGATGTTTAAAACTGCTTGCTCTGTCTTCAGGTGGTGAAGAATAAACAAACTGAAAGTAAGCTTTACTAAACAAATTCTTTTTTTTTTTTTTGGCTCTCCATTATCTTAAAGGCATATAACATCAGAGAAGTTCTATGTAGAAGCCTGTGATCATGGAGCAGATGATGTGCTTGCTATTGACAGAGTCTCCACGGAAGTCACTCTTACAGGTACTCTCTTCACCAGTATTTCTCAATACAGTCTGCTGTGTCCTTTTTGTCTGTTTTGCTCTGGGCACTCCAAGATCCTCTTCAGAACCTTACTAAGATAATACTGAGGGAATTGTTTTTATCTTTAGTTACTGCTTTAAAATATTGCTTTGTGTTCTGTTTTGCAAAGAGCTTTGTCTGAAATACCTTTTTGCTGTGGGATTGGTGCAGTGGGCATAGTGCTGGCCTGTTTTATGGTAAGACTGCCCATCACAACTGTGGAAACTGACTCATCCAGGCTAGCTGGGATTGGTGCCACAAGTTCAAGATCAAACAGGGGAAGGGTTGAACACTGGCATTCTGCAGCTTTACCTAACTGTCTCAATGCTGTATTTTATATAATACTGAAACCTGATTTTTCATGAAACCTCTATAACCAGCAAAAGTAGAAAACCCTTGCTGTAAATCTCATTCTGTGTTGCAGCTTTGGATTCAAATGTCACTGCAGGTAGTCTTTAAGCATGCTGGTGTCTTGAGAATTTTAGTTTAATTTTTAAAGGATGTGAAACTAATGCATAAAAACAAAGAACTTACTTAAATAACAGTGAAATTAAGGCAACAGATGACTTCCCTTTTGATACTTCAGGAGTTTGTGCCTCAGTATTACTAAATGTCTAAACAGTCAGAAATGCTACAATAATATAAAAGCAGTAACTATCTTTTATTAGGCCTCTTGTATACCTCATGTAAGAGCAGCATGCTCATACCACTGATACTTTTGGTGTTGTAGTATAGTATTTCAATTTCTCCTTCTAAGTTGTCCCTTAAAAACTGTAAAGATGGCTTTCCCAGGTCTTTTGCTAGTCTACATCTCTCTCATTACTGGTGTTCTAGCAGATGAACCTGCGAGGTCCTTAAAGCAAAGGAAGATTCAAGCTTCATCTTTACCTGGTTTGTGGGAAAATGCCTCACTCTGCTGTGGGTGGTTTGGGTCTTTTTAAACTTCTCTGAATCCTTTATGTTTTAGAAATGTAGATGTCTTGATGGCAGCAAAACAAAGCTTCTGGAAGCTGGCAAAACACTACATTATTGAGGAGTCTACTTGCTTTACTATCATGTGAATGGGCTTGAATTTATTCAATTGAATTACTAGTTTGATTAAACATGAGAAATTGGGTCAGGATGCTTCCGCATCCTCCCACTGGCACCCCATCAGCTTTGAAATTCTGATGCTTTGCTGCTTAGACTCTAGCAAAGCTTAAGACTTGACCAAGAAGCTTGGACAAACCTAGTTTAATAGTCTTCCAATATAGCCATGAAAGAAGCAATCTGAAATTCTGATGTTGTTTTCTTTTGCTTTTTCAGTTAAGAAAGATGTTCCCCCTTCAGCTGTAACAAGGCCTATATTTGGTATTTTGGGAACGATCCGATTGGTGGCAGGTAAGGAGAACAGAACTGTGCTCTTTAAAAATACTGAGGCAAGATATATTGCTGAAGCAGTTTTAAAGGCAAAAATTATATTTACAAGTATCTGAGGTTACATTTTCATCAGTATGTTAGGCTTTTCTGGTAGCTGCTAGAGGGCTGAGGTATCCAAATGCAGTTTATCATGAATGTTCACGTACCTCTTAGACCAGTAGGTGCCCTAAAGATGGGGTTAACCAACAGTTGTTTGAGTTTTGAGGAATGCATCCCAAATGAGTACAGAGGACTTCATCTATTTACTTTTCATAACTGTTTTAAGCTTAGCTGAAGGATTTGGTGCAACAGTCAAATATTGGGTCATGAAGTTTCACCTTATCTTGCTGCACAAATAGCTGAGAGTGGCAGGATGATAGTAGATGCAGCTGTTCAAGTAATGATTGTGTTCCAACTACCCTAAAAATACAAGGAAAACTCAACGTGAAAAGGATAGGCTGGAACAAGTCTAATTTTAAGGTGTTGTAGGATAAGGTAAGAATAGGCTGTCCATTTTTTCTCAGATCTAAACAGTCACTGCCATGAATAAATGAGGTATAAAGTGTAGACTTTCAGGACAGTAAGCATTGCTACTCAAACAGTGTTTGTCTAATTTTTATTGAGACTGAAGTAGTCTGAAAAAGGATGCAATGAGGAGCAAGCATAGAAAGGTTTGAAGATCACTCACTGCAGTATTCTCTGCAGAGTGTTGTGTTGAATGCAGTGACTTCTGGCAGGATCTTAAAACTACTGAACTTACTATGCCCAAGTTCTAAAGAGTTGTGGATCTTAGAGAGTAAGAGCAATGTAATGGATACCTGTCTCTTGGGTGCTTGACAGGCCCCGACTGTTTTAAAACTGAACTGCCCCAAAGGGGAAATTTTACCACTTACAGGCTTGGTAATGACTTCTATTCATCTGACTGAATATTAAGTAAAGTATAGAACATGTAACTCTCTTAAAAGCTTGAGGGTTTTTCATTCTACTCTCCAGAGCTTTGTACTGTGTTAGTATACAGCTGTCAAACTAAAAGTGGTATCAGTTAAAGTAAATGTTTAGCTAAGTGTTATTAGGCAGTTCACTGCTGTTAACTGCAAAATTGGCCCCATATGTAGCAATGTGGCATCTTTACCAGGCATAAGTACTCTTTGCCTACTACAGTATTAAGAGTAACCTTTTTCTTCAAGAACAAGATGACTCTGAAATACAACAGGCTCAGAAACAAGGCTGTGTTGTGTTTACCAACAAGTGTAAATTAACTGCTTTGAGTGAACTGTCCTTGAATATGGTTGTTTTTTGCTTTGTTACTTACACATCCAGGAAAGCAGCAAACTTCCTGTCTTAAATTATTAAAAGAAACCAAATTCTCTTTGTTTGAACCTGTTAGGATTAATATTTTTTTCAGAATAAGTTGAATAGTCTTTTTGGCTTTTGAAGCATGCTTCCTTTCATGTATTTTGGACTTGCTCTGTGCTTTCCAAACCACATTCAAGAGCATTGGCCTCTTTCTGCGTTTGCAAGCCTGAAGACTTTCAGACTGTCTCTGATCTGAACTAAGAGAGTAGGTGACACTTTTTTTTCTTGTCCATTTTTTAAAATTCCCTAAACTTAATGAGTAGCTCAAGATCTGTGAGCATAGAGAAGTGGGTAGCTTAGCAAGTGCATTTTGCTTCTGCTCCAGCCCCTTACTGTTAAGAACATAAAGTCCTAG